CGCTGGAGCCGTTTGCCAGCCTTGAGCAGAATCAGGAGGAGGCCCACCGGGTGAGTGTTCGCAAGCAGAAGCTGCAGCAGCTGGAAGATGAGTTCTACACCTTCGTCAACCTGCTGGATGTTGCCAGGGCCCTGCGGCTGCCCGAGGAAGTAGTGGATTTCCTGTACCAGTACTGGAAGTTGAAGAGGAAGGTCAACTTCAACAAGCCCTTGATCACTCCAAAGAAAGACGAAGAGGACAATCTAGCGAAGCGGGAGCAGGATGTCTTGTTTAGGAGGCTGCAGCTGTTCACTCATCTGCGGCAGGACCTGGAGAGGGTAATGATTGACACTGACACCTTGTAGTGACTTAGAAAAGAAGATTGCAAAGAGGCGGCTGCTTGCCCAGAGCAAGGAATGGTAGCCAGTTCCTTCACTCGCAGACCCTTGTACACACTGCAGCATGAGGTGGTGTCGGTTAAATATATTTACGGGCTGGCCAACTCCTTGTACATATGTGTGAGACTGCCACAGGGTGGGGAGCTTCTCTGTGATTGATTTTTAAAACACTTTCCCACTAATCCTTGTTGTTCTTCTGTAAGATCAAATGGGGTGTGTCCCCTTCCCCCTTCATTCCAGTGCTAGAGGGAACTGAGCCCCAGGAAGATGACCCAGGGATTGGCTCGGAATTGTTTGCAGACGGAGTTAGACCAGGTGGATTTGATTCATGGTGGGGGCAGCCAGAAGTAGGAAGCTCTCTCGTTCAAACCTGGGCTAACACTGGGTGCTGCTGACGGGCTCATCAAGGAGAGCCAAGCACTGCCCCTCTGGCGCACCTTCGCTTCTTGGCTAATTCACAGGGACGCTCCTGGTGCCGCCCCGGGGGAGAGCAGGCAGCGGGTGCCGATGTGTGTGCGTGACCTTAACGTACACATGTGGATCTGTTCCCGAAGGTTCTCCTGGCAGTGAGGTGCTAAGTCATCACTGAGGCAGAGTATATATACTGTGCGTGTGTGCTCGTGTGTCCCTGTCCACGCGTGTCTGTGCAGGGGTGGGGCGGGCTCGCCGGCGCATCGGGCTGCCTGATCTGAGGGGCCCCAAGTAATGCTCAGTACACTACTTGAGACCACGACTGGCTTGTGGACGTAGTGGCTGTTGGCTGCCTGGAGCCTCGGCTGATGGCACTTCCTTCAACTCTTGGCTGCTTTGTGCCCCGCCAGCTCTCCGTTACCTTTGGAGTGCCAGTCTGGACCTCCCTCCCTGCTGCAGGAATAATTAGGAGTGGGCTGTCTTCCCTCCAGGGCCTCCTGTTCCCTGTAGGTAGTTTCTGACTGAGGTTGCTAATTGGGGATGCGTCCTAGAGCACCTTCTGCGTCAACTCCCCTGACTGCCAGCTACGATTAAATTCATTAGTGCACGGGAGCTGGGCCCCAAGCTCTCTGGCCTGAAGCTTCCTGCACTGAAAGGCACCCAAGTGGCCTGAAACCGTTAACGCATCGCCCCCAAGCACCTCACTTACTAGCAGGGAGTGATTCACCTGCCTGGGAGATGATTTGAAATGAGAGTGTAGGCCAAGAATAGGGATAAATTGGAGGAATATTAAAGCCGAAAGATCCAGCTCTCACAGAGACCTGCGTGGCCCTGCTAAAGATGGCATAGGAGCGGAAGTATTAAGCGATCATTAGAGATCCTTTTAGTAGGAGACCCGAGTGCCCGGGGGCCAGCATGTTGTGCCACCCCCTCCCTGCCCGGTTCCGATGGATTCCAGATTCAGGCGGAGGCAGGCGGGAGGAGGGTTTGTGAGGCTCTGTGCTGCCGTACCCCCCCTGGTGGTGAGTGTAAAGAAGACCTCGCCTCAGCCACATGTATGTGTGGCAGTTTTGTTCAGAGAGGAGAAAGGGATTCAGAAGGATAAACTGGAATCCTGGTGAGAAGCCATTATTCCCAGCCTGACGACCGCTGTACGTGGGGGTGCATGAGCTATGGAGTCAGATAGTCCTCAGGAGGGAGGACGAGAAGTCTAAATGTTTGGACTGTGTTTGTCTCACGATCACCACAGAATAAAAGTGTAGAAAATGCTTGTGGTGTACTAACTCTTTTCTGTACTTCAGTTACTCAGATTAACACGCACTTACAATTAAATTCTAAACATTTTTTTGGAGTCATCACTGTTGGTTTTTAAGTAGAATGATACCAATGATGTACGAGAAACAGGGAATAAATCAGGATTTTTGTGTGTGTGTGGCATTACTTACATTTATTTTATTAAAAGCCTAAGAGATTTTAGGGAATTTAGTGTCAGTTTAAAGTGGGCTTATTATAATGGAAAAACAAAAAGTTTTTCAGAATTTGCCGTGAGGCCTGCGATGGTGGTGGCTTTAAAAACCATTGCAATCTTTGCTCTGCCCCTGAGAGCTGCACGGTGCTTTGTAATTATAGACAGTAAGTATGTCAGGCCAAAGGTTCGTCAGGGCAGGGGTGACCGGAACAAATCATAAATTACGTTGTCTTTCAATTAAGAGTTCTGCTAATAAACACAGTAGTAGTTCATAGCAGGTATGCAGAAGCCGTGAATACACGGGATTATAATCAAGGCTGTGGTCAATCCTAAACTGACAAATGAGTAGCCTTCATTAGAAATGCGAACACCTGATGAACGATAAGGTTAATAGCTTTCTTGGAAATACACACCTCGGGGCATTCCACACCTGGGTACAGTTCTGGATGGGAAAGTTAGGTGGCAGGAGTGCATTTTAGGAGGGTTTGGGAACCCCCATCTTTAAGAAGACACAATTGCTGATGTGTAGTCCATGGCTAGGTCAAGTTCCCAGGGCCGCCACTTCACTCTGGTGGGATCCCTTTCCCCTAGACGTTGTCTTTTACAAGATGCAGTAAACAGTTCAGCAAGTGAGAACTTACTCAAAGACCTGCCCCCTCTGCACGTGTGGCTAGCTCATCGAGAGGGCCTGCTCGTGGGAGACTGTCCTACTCACCACTCAGTGGAATGGTTACCCCTGAGAATCTGATGGAGGCTACAGTTGTCCCTGAACAAAAGGCATGTTGAGCTCTAGTGTGCGAACAGTGTTTCGGATTCAGGAAAACCCCTTGAGGCCATTCTTGAATTCCTGAGGACAGTGGTTCTCGGAGTGTGGGCCCCAATCAGCAGCAGCAGCAGTACCTGGAAACTTAACAGAAGTGCCAAGTTTTGGACCCCACCTCTGACTCCAGAAGCTGGGACGGGGGGTTAGTGGCCAGCATTCTGTGTTTGAGGGGTCCCACGTGTGTGTTTGAGAATCACTGCTTTTGGGGAAAGCCTGACTCTGGTTTAGCATGGTGTGAGAGTGCACCCATGAACTTCTTTTTCTGGTAACTCCTTGCTGGCAGCTCGGAGAGGATGAAGCAGGGGAGGATGTTTGGTTGAGCGGCGCAAGGGAAGGGCCGAGCAGGGCCTGTTTCCAGGGTCAAGCTCCCAGGCACAGCCGGGGCTGCTGGTGGAAGTTGTCCTGTGAGGAGTGCTTTGTGCATAAAGGAGGGAAGGTTTAGGGCACTCACTAGTCTAAATGTGGTCAGCCGGGCCTGGGTTATTCAGGGGTTGATTTGTCCCAATGAAAATCCACCCTGGCCTTAGCTTTTTGGGGTTACAGGTAGAGGTTTCTCATCAGAGATGACAGGGGGGAACAGAAGTGGAATTTTCCCACCTAGCGGCCATTGTGGGAGCCTTTCCTGGGGATAGTGGTTGAAGCTATCAGAATTAAATTTAAATAGTATGCAAAGTTCAGGTACTCTGGTTTTCCTAGTTTCTGTTTTCATGGATACTTTCAAGTCAGAGAGATCTAAGTATCTTGGCTGTACATCTGACTTGAATAGAGTAATAACCTCATCTGCTCCTAAGAGGTCAGAATTTGTTTCTATTTCCTATTTCCAGAAGTTAGATTCCTTGATGTAAGAACCGTTGGCCAAAAGTTTTTAATCTGCGATACAGATCTAGGTCTTGCCTCTTCCTCTTTCTGAGCTTTCACTTTAAGC